CGCGCGTGCGATCCCTGTGGCACGTTCGCACGCGGCGCGGCGCGCTGCGCGTCGAAGCGGGAGCGTGTGTGTCGCGCAAGAGCGCGTATTCTCGCCGTGGTTATACGTATGTGCGCATCTCCGTGCCGCCGTTGCCCGCCGTCGATGTCGGCGTTGCCCCGCCGCTTTGGAGCGTAGCAAGGGCCGCGCGCCGCGGGACCCGGGTGTACGCCGCGGGGGCCGCGTGCTATCACCGTCTACGATATTCGCGTGCGCGCGAGGAGCCAGCAACAGCTCGTCGCGGCCAGTGACAACATTTATTTTCGATACGATCGCGAAGGGACGAGAGAGAAAGAGAGAGGGTGAGAGCTGGGAAGGAGGGAGAGACAGAGAGAAAGAGAGAGACAGAAGAAGCTCTGTTCACCGCCCCGCCGTCCCGAACTGTTGCAACGCGAATTGCGGGAATTGTACTCCGTGGGAGTGAGAACGAGACAGCCAGTGTAAGCAGGTAAAACGGACCGGGAAAAAGCTGCTAAATTGATGGTGGAACGGCAATTTTTTGCCTGATTGTGCGATTGTGTGTAATCGCGCCATAATTGCACGAGTCTTTTAACGGGCAGTAGTGAGAGAAGGAGGGAAGAAGAAAGAGAGAGAGAGAGAGAGAGAGAGAGAGCGAGCGAGCGAATGAGTGAAAAGGACGGGAAAAAACGAGAACGCGACGAAGAGCGAGGGAGAGGGAAAGAGAGAGAAAGTGCTAACGAATGTTACGACAGGAGAGAGAAAGAGAGAGATGGAGTGATCGTGTGTGCGTGTACGTGAGAGGAAGTTTGACAGTAAAACGAAGCGGGAACGAACGCGACAGCGCGGGGAGCAGCTTGAGGGTGGCGGGGGAGAGTGGAGGCAAGAAGAGGCGGGGAATTCTCTCTCCGTCAAAATGTCGCTGAAAACGCCAACGCGGATACAGTGATCGTTGCCGCTCGCCTAACTCGCGAGGCACGTCTCCCCTCGAGCCCTCGAGTCTCGCTGCCCTTCTCTCCCCCTTCTCTCTTTCTCTATCTCTCTCCTCTCTTTCCTCTCTATTTTCCGATCTCGTTCACGGCGAGCAGGCGGCTCTACGGTCTTGTAGCGGAGAAAGAGAAGATCGCGGGTGCATCGATTACTCGCGTACACACAGGTCACCCGGTTTGTTCCCCACATTTGTTTCCCTACGCGTTGTCGTTCGTGTCTCGTCCCATCCCATCCCGTTTCGTCTCGTCTCGTCTCGTCTCGTCTCGTCTCGTCTCGTCTCGTCTCGTCTCGTCTCGTTTCGTCTCGTCTCGTCTCGTCTTGTCTTGTCTTGTCTTGTCTTGTCTTGTCTTGTCTCGTCCCGTCCTGTCCCGTCCTGTCCTATCTCATCCCATCCCATCTCATCTCATCCCATCTCATCCCATCCTATCCCATCCTATCTCATCCCGTCTCGTCCTGTCTCGTTTCGTTTTCGATAGCGGAATATCTCTCTCTTCCCCTCCCCTTCTCTCTTTCCCTTCCTCCCTTCCTCCCTCCCTCCCTTCCTCCCTCTTCTCCTCTCTCGTTTCCTCGGTTTCCCTTACAAGGGCGACAGGTTCCGGGGGAGACACCTCGATTCGCGAGTGAGGTCCTCGTGCTCGTCCCAACGTTAATATCACGTCTCCAGGTACTGGCGCGATCAGAGAAGACAACCTCCCTCGCCTCCACGGCGATGCCCTCCGCGCGCGGACAGTAACCCCCCTTCTGCGTTAACGGTGAAGTCGGCTCGTCACACTCGGCACCTAAACTCGACTCCGACCTTTTGTTCGCGCCGCGGCTCTCGGGTCCCCCCCCCTTCTCCTTCTCTCCCTTCTCCCCTTATGTCGCACGCCCCTCGGCTCCCCGCGACGCTGCGCGAACCTCTCTTCCCGCGACCGTTAAACGGCTCGCCTTCGCCACCACGATCCAGCCTGAATTTAATGGCCAGTCATGGGTCTATGTCGGCCGGACTCGGACTAGTTCGAAACTCCACATCGGACATCGTCGGTTCCGATCTGACGATCGCGGCGCGGAGCCACGCGGGACGTACACATGGGCTTGGAGACGGAGCCATCGGCAATCCCGATGGGTGAGCCTAACTTTGGCTGACGTTCCCGCCCCCATCCCCGTCTTACGTTTGCGGTAGTCGCGTGCGATCGACGTAGGACGAGAAGTCTGACCGATCACGACTCCAGAATCGCGCGATACCGAGGCCGAATCCAAGGCCAGAGAAATGGACTCGATCCGAACGCGGGGATCAATTAGGAATGAATAGCCGTTGCTCAGCATCTTGTTCACCCTTGAGGATCCACGAAGTACCGTTTCTCCTTCCGAATTCTCCGTTTGGTGGACCGTTGAGAGTCTTTTCCCGAATGTCCTAGGCATCGCTGAACAAAATCTTTCCATACCATTTCTCGATCCTCGATTCTCGATTCTTCCATTACTCGATTGTACTACCCGGGAAAACCCGAGGTCGACGAGGTAATCGAGAAAAAAAACATTCGCAACGAACAGGTGATTCACTTTTTTTGTGTTCCACGAGATATCTGCAATTTCTCTCGAAGGAAAAATAATTTACAGTGAAAATGGTCGCGGAAACGGTCGCGAAAAACGCTTCATCAGGATGAATCGTAACGGAAATGTGATTACGCATTCGGTAAGAAGCGTGAGAAGAGTCGTCGTTCTAATAGCTATTCGAATTTGGAGTATCATCGGTGTTTCGCGCAATCCGTTCGCTTTTATCTGGGTGACTATATTCGACTCTTGTCTGGAGTACACACACGTTCGTGTGGATCTTCAAGATCTTGATAGAGAAGCGAGTTCGTTGACTTGGGGGCCACGGTTTGCTATTTAAACAAAACAGCTCGTACAAAACTTCATTGTTTGTATGTAGGAAAGATAAAACACTTTAGTGACGAAAATATATTACGGAGATAGTACTGAGAACGGTTAACCTCCTGCTGGCATTCTTCAGTTTTGTAATTTTACAACGCATTTGTAAGTTTCTTCAGAAAAAATTGGAAGTGCTTGTTTGTAAATTATATGTTAACAATTACAGCTACGTATTCGACAAAAATTATTAATGTCTAGAGATTAATTACAAAAATTATTTCTCTTCGTTAAGATTTTGTTTAGGATATATTTATATTACGTTTTGTTACTGTTGTGAGAGTAACGTTCAGAAAAAATGATTGTTAAAAAAAGTTATCAAAAAGTTTTTAAAAAATGAAATATTCGTCGTGTCACGCAACCTTTAAATTTTGAAATACAAAACGTGAATGCCAAGTTAATTGTACGCAGTATATCCATTTATCTAATTCTGACAGATCGTGTTACACATATTTTTATATATTTATATGACTATGTGTTTATTGTTATGTTTTGTAGAGAAAAGATGGCTTGTTTTACTTCAGGTTCTGGATAAACTTGTTTATTAAGAAACAAGAAAAATGGTATCGACACGTCAATCAAGTAACATGGGAAGCAGCAGTAGCAGCGGATCGGTTGGTGAAGTTGTGGAAGTAAATTCGTTAAAAAAGCACCATTCTGTAACAGCTGGTACGTCTAACAGTGGGCCCACCATTGAATCACGTAATCTGAATCTCTTGGATTTACCCGTTGAAGTCCTCGAAAAAATCTTTGGCTACCTAGGCTTTAATATGGTAGCCCACATGCGCCTGGTAAATATCAGCAAATTTAACAGTGCTTCATCCATTTTCTTTGATCGAGCTACTATAGCAAGCGTTCCATTCACAGGTTTGCCATCAACTGGACCGTATTTGTGGATCAATATTGAACTCTACATTTCAAAAGCTACAGGCTCAAATGTTAAGCCGTTTTCAGAGCATCAAAGCACAAATGCCCAGACGCGAATCCGCACGTCGGAATCACCCATTGGCGTGCGAGTCTGATATTATAGAAACTCTGCATATGCGGCTTACTCTACTACAAATGAGTTTCGGCAAACATATTGAACGGAAGCATTGCTGCTTCTTCCCTGGTGAGGTAAGTACTAAAGATATTAATAAAATAAGAACTGACGTCATCTATTACGTGATTTGGATATAATAATGGCGGAGAAATGAGAATAAAAATCTTTTTATCGTTTTCACAGATTTTAGATGAAGTTTATCGTATTCTCCATTATATAAAGGTCACTCCGAAATTACAAAGACCTTACAAAGTCACAGATGAATTGTTTGATCTGAGCACTATGGCCATGGAATATTTCAAGGAACACATTGAACCAACATTACCAGAAATACCTTATTTTGGTGCTGACTTTCTGGATCTTGCAGGAACATTTTCTTGTAAGTGAGCCATTGATTCAATACTTTTCACTGTGTATTTTTGTAATGCAAATTTCATTGAAAATACTTTCTTTGCTGTAGCTTCTAGTAGCGTGAGTAAACCATTTATGTGCCTGGATTCTGCGCCCTTAACCGTTGGAAATGGAAAAACGGGTAATGCCGGTGAGGAAGAAGGTTCTTCGTCGCATTGCTCGGACGATCCTGGTCTCTTGGAATCCAATGTATCACCTCCACAATCGAATATGGTTTTGCGAAAACGAATTCGTAAGATCAAGCAGGGCATGAGACGATACAACAGTCAACTAACATTGATGCGCAGGGATTTGAAGAGTTGCAAGGCGAAAATTGCGGATCAACAGAAACAGATTGTGGAATATGCTACTCGATTAGATGACAATGACAAGAAGAACGAAGAAACATCGCGGAAATTCAGCACACTTCTACAGGTATATTTATTCAATTGGTGCAAGTACAAGAAAGTGTTCGTATATGCATTTCTATTTCATGGATATACGAATTTTCCTTGTCTAGGAATTGAACAAGTGTAAAACTGAGCTACAATATTGGCGATCCAAATCACCAGCGATACCAGTGTGTGTTGGTTGTGGCCAATCAATGCCAGTACCTACGGAAGATTTGCAAGCTTTAGCCAATCAGGGAGTGCTGCCAGATACGTTTGGCGAAGGACACGACTTCATTCCCATCGCGGATGCTCACAGTCCCACCGAAGTGGTACAGCAATCTGTAGTTACGCAATCTCCGTCGACGCCGACGGTGGACATGGCACCTCCAAAGGCTCCCGTGCCTTCGATATCCTTTAAACGGAGATCTACCGTAGAGGAAACGTCGAGTGATGCCGCGAAAAAATCACGTCGCACTGCCAAGTCTCGTCAGGCTAAGCGCTCAAAGATATAAATTGATAACACTGATCATGGTACAAATATTCAAACCAGTCTCTAATGAGTTTCTGAAAACTTTCTATGATGATTTATGAACGTTTCTTTATGCCAGCAAGCTGATATGATCTTAGAAGAGTACAAAATTTCTCACTGAACGTCCTGCATCTCGCGCAACGAACCTCGTTTTGAAAATTTTAGCTGTATTGATTGTCGCGATTGTCAAGATCGCCAGTTGATTTTTCAGTTATCTCACGGAGTTATCGCCGCCGGCACATGGCGCACATTGATAAATATTCTAAAAAAGCCTAGCCGATCATTCGCTGTGCTCATAAAGCAACGTCAAACTATACTTTCTTGAATTCTTGTTAGAATTCATTTGTTTTTCTTTTTTTAATTATTATCGCGGTACACTCAAGGATAATAATTAAAATCATGTCTGTCATGTTTGTCTTTATCATGCATTTAGCAGCGGTATCGCACGAAAGAATGTAAATGATATAGCGACGAAGACTCATCTTCCATTTTGCTCTTCGATCAAACATACAAACATGTAGTGGTCTCGTCTTGTTTTTTCAATTGATATATCTTTTAGTAGAACATTTGAATGATTGGATATCGCGATTTTAAAATTTTGATCGAATACGACAATATGGGAAAATACATAAATTCCATAATGCGAATCTATATAAATTGAATTGGTACAAAACCAAATAATTTTTAGAAAATTATAAATTTATTCAAGCATTTGGATCACTTATTGTCTATAGATCGAATTGATGCAAACCAAATAATTTAAAAAAAATGATTCATTTGAGCATTTATGGGCTGTACTCTCTATGGCATGAGATAGCTCGTGGTAAACTCGTGTTTAAAGGATTTTAAGTGCGATTTGTGTATAAGATGAAGTATCTAGCAAATTTTATTTCGCGATATCAATTAAAAAATACTAGAAGAATTCACGACCAGTTCGTTCAGATAGTGCAAATACACCAACAACCATATCAATTTGTTTTTATTAATTACGCTCGTTCAAATTAGAAAATAGATTCTTTTACAATCATTAGATATTTTATTGTCCAGCTGTAGAAATAATTTATGTTCCATGTTCACATACTCCGATTGAATTGAATTTGTGGCTGGATGAAATCAAAAAAGATTTAAAAGTATCTCAATAGTAAGATGCGAAACAATCAGAAAAAATATCTGACAAGAATTTACATCATATTAAAGAGCAAAATGTTGAAATGGATACTTGGAAAGGTGTTAGTTTATTTTTATGAATGCGCCATTTTACCAAAACAATTATGAAATGGCGTATACATTGCAATATTAATAGAACTAGATAATTATTTATAGGAATTATTCTATTTAGATAAAAGAAAACAAATTGGGTATCATACCATTTTTATATATTATGCGGAAAAAGAATGAAGTTTTGTTAATGAATAAAATCGACAGAAATTTGTATAAAAACAATGTTTGAAATTTAAAATAGTGGACGTTCATGTTTATAAATTATAATAATCGAGGATATTTGCAATCGGTTTTGGAGGTCAGATGGTTTACATTGCGTGATAAACATTATTGATAGGAGCAATTAATGTCTTATTTGCACCGATTATCCAATTAATAATCTCAAAGCAGTGTAGTTAGATATTGTGAGTTATTCATGATTCTACTTATAAAAAGATGGAAAATACAGATAAATATATAAGTGAATGATACTTTATATATATATATATATTACAAATATAGATATATTTATATATATATGTATTTGAACATATATACGTATATATAAATATATGCATATATAGTTGAGTGGTACTTGCCAGAGGCGTGCATACCACACAGAACACTTTAGTTTAAACTTTAATGGAACAATAAGATACAATGATTAATTAATTAATTGAATGATTAATTAATTAACGATAAAATAATTGAAATATATATGAAAAATATATATATAAATATATATATATATATATATAATTTTTTATCGATGTCAAAAGGAAAGTAGAG